ATAAAGGGATGCAGCCAGCACCCGTGGCCTGGGCCTGGGCCTGGGCCTGGGCCTGGGCCTGGGCAGGGCGGGGCGGGCTTCCTTTCGCCTGGGCTGGGGGGACCGGGACAGTCACCGCGAGACGGGCCCAGGCGGGCGCGTCAAGGGGCTCGGCCCTTCATTGGTCACCCCCCGAGATCCCCCGCAGCTGCGGGAACCAGACTGGAGCAGCTCTGCCGGGGCTGGGGGCTGCGACTGGGGCCGACCGCACCGTGACTCGCGGTGCCGACACTGCCAAGGGTGGGGAGGGCCTCCGTGCCCCGCGGGGGAGGCTGGGAGGACCCGGCCAGGCTGGGGTTGGGTGGCACAAGCCCCCCCCCTCCTCCCTGCTCCCCACTGGAGTGGGGTGGGGCAAGGGCGGACGTGGGCTGGCCACGGCGGACTCAGGGCCCTTTGTCCCGGGCCCCCCCCCCGTGTGCCCCCTGCCCACCCAGCAGCGGGAGGCACAACTCGCGGCCCCCACTGCTGCCGGGCGGGCAGGGGACGCGCGGCCAGCAGCGGTCCCCGGGGCAAAGGCAGAGAGTCCCAGGTCTGCAGCAGGCAGCCCACATCTGCCCGCGCCGAAACCCAGCGATCACATGCCCCACCCGTGCCTCCCCTTGGGGGTGCACACAGCGGTGGGCAGCTGCCCCCCCACACCCGTGGGCCAGCCACCCGTTGCTCTGTCCTGCTCCCTGCCCTGGCCACGGGTCCTTCACCACCCTGGCTGGGCAGCACCCCCAGCCCCTGCCCCACTCCCTCCCTCACCACGGGGGCCTCAGACTGTCGTCCCCACACCCCCATACACTGATCTGAAGACAGCTGCTCCGCACACTGCCTGGCCCTGCTCGGGATCAGGTGCCTGCGTGCAGCCGGGGCACCAGGCGTGCAGATCCGCGGGTCCCGCTGGCCTCGGGCTGCGGAAGCTGCATGCAGCAAGGGCTGGGACGCGCTGGCAGGTTTTGCACGTGCTGGCCAGGCCGGAGCTGCTCCACCTGGCAGGCGCCGGCTGGCAGGAGATTGCCCCGGTGCGGCTGGGCCTTCAGGGGCACAGTGGGAGGCACTTCAGGAGCGGAAATGCACCGCACAGCGCATGGGAGAAGCTGGCAGGCTGTGACTGACAGGAACAAGCAGCTGTGAAGTAAAGGAAATAGATAAGGGAAGCTAAAGCCTCAGGAGAAAGTCCCAGTTCATCAGAAAGGTGCAGGGGGCCGCGCCAGGACCGGGGAGCTCGTGCCTATAAACCCCGACCCAGCATGCGGCCCGTGCTTGTCCCGGCCAGCGCGCACGAGCTGTTCCTGCCGGCCGCAGCGGCAGTCAGAGCCCGGGCGCCTGTCGGGACACACGGACACGGCGGACCCCGAGGAGGCAACAGGCTGGGCCCCGGTGCCTGCTCGAGAGGCAGATGCTGCCCCACGCCCGGCACGTGCCCGCGGGGCTTCGCCGGGAGGCGAGAGTCCGCCCAAGGGGCCGGCCAGAGGGCCAAGGCCACAGCCGGGGGAAATGGCTGAGGCCCAGGGGCTGCAGCGGCAGCCGGTTCCTGCTCTCGGCAGACGGCTCCCAGCAGCGGCAGCTGCAGCAAAGGGGAAGTGACCGCCTCCCCCCGCGGGCCGGAGCCACGCGCCCCTCTCCCCGGTCTGCCGTTCTGCTCTTGCCCAACTGGCTGCAGGGCAAGGGCTGGCCTGACACATCCCTCTGCTGCAGAGCTCCAGCCTCCGCCTGTCCAGGACCAGCCAGCCCTCTCCCTGCTGGCACAGAGCCATGGTCCCGCATGGCCTCTGCCTCCTGGCCTTGCTGGCAGGTAGGAGCCCGACTGGGCCAGGGCGGGGGGCACGGAAGCAGCGCTCGGGGGCTGGGACACGGAGGGGGCAGGGGCTCCGGCCAAGGCAACCTGGTGCATCTGGCTGCTTGCACACTCAGCCTGGGGATCCCCAAGGTATTGCGCACACCCCGGCCAGGCGTGGATCGGCAGGGCCTGCTTGGGAGCAAGGGCCTGCTTGGGATGGACAGGGCCTAGGCGGGAGCAAGCTCCAGCCTGGGGCTGGGGTTGTGCCCTAGGAGCCCCACTGAAGTCCCTGAGTGCTGTTGGGCAGCTGAGGGCCTCACCATCCTGGAAAACCCATTCCTACCCCCCCGGCCAGAGGAGCGGGCTGCGGGGCAGGGCACCGGGCTTAGCAGACAGCTGTGACAAGAGCTGGAAGGGTCTAGGCTGCCCTCAGGGCCGGGACAGCGCCAGCACGGGGCCCAGGCAGCACATGCCGGGCATGCCCCCTCCCCAGCCTGCACCGGTGTCCGGGAGGGCAGTTCAGGAGCAGCGTGGCCTACCTCGGCGCCAGGTGGGTGCAAACGTCCCACAAGACGAGGATGCAGAGCAATGGCCTGAGGTTGCCGCACAGTCGATTTAGACTGGATGTTCGGAGACGCGTCTTCGCGGTCGGAGCAGGCAGGCCGTGGGGGAGAAGCCAGGGTGGGCAGTGGGGGGGACTCCCCGGTGCTGGAGGTGTCAAGGAGAGGTTGGGCACTACTGGCAGGGATGCTTCAGGTGCAGCGAGGCCCCTGCTCTGCTGTGGGAATTTCCCAGGCTTCTGGGCTGTGCTGTTGCCCCCTTCTCCCTTGCTGCTCCGTGTTGGGGGGTTTTCACCTGCCCCGAGGCGCTGGGGCTGCTGCCGCCCGGGCTGGGGCTGGGCCAGTGCTCCGGCTGCACCGACCCGCAGGGCCCTGGCTGGGGGGTTTTGTCCCTGCGCTCAAGCTCTGCCCACCACTGCACTGGGAGCAGAAGGGGATTTCCCACCTCAGACTGGTGGGGGGGCTGCCTTCCTCTGTAGCAGAGCCACGACCTCTGCCCGGAGCATCTAGTAACCCCTTTTATAAAAGCAGGACGTTGGCCACTGCCGTGCCCGTTTTCCCCACAGCAGGGGAAGTGGTTGTAGACTTCAGAAGCTGGGTGTGTCCCGGCTGGTTTGCACAGGGTGGATGCTGCATCGGGCAGGGCTTGTACCAGAGGTGACCCCGCAGGTCCCTTCCAGCTGCACGGCTCTGTGACCATGACTCTGTGACCCCCGCCTGCCCGGGCACTCAGGTGTCCCCGCTCTCCTTGCAGGGGCCGCGCTAACCTGCAGCGCGCGGGGGCTCAAGTGGAGTATGCAGATGCCCACGGCAGTAACAGGGCTGAAGGGTAGTGACGTGGTGCTGCCCTGCAATTTCACACACCCAAACATAAACTACAAGGACAACATCCGTGTCCTTTGGAAGCCCTACTTCCAGTGCTTGGTGGCCAACATCAGCAACGCAAATGGCAACTGCAGCAAGGAGCCGGGGTCCAACAGTCGCTACAGCCTGGCTGGGGACCCGCGCCAGCATGACCTGTCCCTGCGGGTGGCCAGGCTGAACTTTGAGGACAACGGGCCCTACGAGTGCCGCGTGGAGCTGAACATATCTGGGCAGTGCTGGACGCACAAGCCCCCCCTCATCCTCACTGTGGAAGGTACCACGCCAAGCTGGCAGCCCACGGGGTGCCCGGGGCGCTGGGCTCTGCCCACTAGACTGTAGCTGGGTGGAGGCTCAGCGTGAAAACCCCTGGGGTGGCCCCTGCTGGGTGCCTGTGCCCGGGAGCTCTGAGACGCTTCTCGGCATCTACCCCAGGGCTTGCTGGCAGCAGGGGTGGCTGGGCCAGGGCAGGCCATCATGGGCCCCGGGCCGAGGGCCGGCAGCACTTGCTCCCAGTCCTCAGGTATTGGGGGGGAGAGGGGAGAACCAGCACCTGGGTCTGCCAGCCCCTGCCCACGGTGCCCTGTGCCCTGCAGCACCGCCCAGCATCCTCAACCTCACACTGCTGGAGGGGCCAGGGCCGGCGCGGGCTGTCTGCACGGCCGAGGGCAGACCCTTGCCCAACATCACCTGGTGGGGCCCTGGCAACACCCCAGAGAGCCCATCCCCACCGAAGGCCCAGGCTCATTTCCAGAGCGCGGTGGAGATCACGCTGCGGCGCAACGGGACCTACACCTGCCGGGCGAACAACGCGTGGGGCCATGCCGAGCGCTCCCTGACTGTGGGGAACGACCACTTCCCACTCCTTGCTGCCCTGCTCCCTGCTGCCCTGCTGCTCCTGGCACTCCTGGTCCTGGCTCTCGTCCTCTGCCAGAGGCGGAAAGGTGTGGGGGGGCCTAGGCTTGGGGAGTGATGGAGGGGGGAGACAGGGGGTCCTAAGCATGGGCAGGGGAGAGGCCAGGGGTCCACAGGGATGTGCGGGGCTGTGCCAGGTGGGAGCAAGAGGGTGGGTGTGTAGGGGTCTGGGGGTGGGTAGGGGCTAGGCAGGGGTGCCAGGGGGTTGTGGGGAGCAGGGCGGGGGGCTGGCTGGGCAGCACCACCACAAGCAGGCACTGAGGGTCTGTCCTGCTCTCTTCTAGGGCGATGCCAGGGCTCGCAGAGGTAAGCTCCAC